CCGACGTCGACAACGAGCCTGGCCTTTTCACCGCCGTCTAAAGGGCCCACCGGCCTGACGGCGCTCTTCCGGAGACGGCCCTGTAAAATGGGCACCACCTCGTCGGCTAGCGTGCTCTCCACGTCGACGACTAGTACCTTGATGCATCAGGAGAGTAATCGAAGCAGCACGTCGGGTAATTCGACCCCTTCGACGCCTACTGAAGAACGGGTTCCGATGCTGCCCAGGAATGGAATGGTGCACCCTGGAAATGGGGCCCATGGACCAACCGCGAATCAAAGGAGGAGCTTCAGGAACTTGTTCAGGTCGGTCAGCGCCAATGCGGATAATGAAAGGACGCAGCAGTTTTTGAAGGGAGATCCGAGACCCTCTGATGTTGCGCCGCCTTCTCCCTACTTGCCACACAGGTACATATTCATATTTATGTAGATATACATATTCATATTTATATTAATATATTATACGTACATGTAAACGGTGTGTTTCGCAAGCTGTGAACATTTGTATTAATTATTTCAAATAATAGAAGAAAGTGTTACAAGAATTCTAGTGTTCAAGGGGCCACATAATATTAATACACATCAAATTTTGAAGGGGTGAATTTTTTATTTCGTGAGCACGTTAGTGGATGAATGTGTAAATTTATGAATTCATTGATTTGTAAATTATAACCTTGTAAATTTCAACCCTACATTTCATGTACTACATACATATTTCAACCTTGCATATGCATTTCATGTACTACATACAAATTTCAACCCTGCATACACATTTCATGTACCACATATACATTTCAACTCTAAAGATACACAACATAGAATAAGTAATAAACATGTGCACTTAACATTTCCACCAGGTCTCATTCGCACTCCGAGAACGACAGAAGAAGACCAGGACGAAGTAGAGCGGTGCTGAAGTCAGCCAGCGAGCTTTTGTCAAACGACATGGTGTATTGTGGCTTAGCCAGAGATAGCCACGATCAGAACGTCGACGACGATGACGATGACGATGATGATCAGGATTCGAGCGAGGTCTTCGTGGGTGTCGAGGACGCTAGGTCAGTGCTTGTTTAAGAGTGTTTAATCGAAGTAGTTCGATTAAGTCAGTATTTGATAACCTGAAGGTTTCAATCGCAACAGTACTATTGACTATTCAGTGTTATTATCAGGGTACTTATCAAGGTAATAATGAAGGTACTTGATGATAAATGAGTATGTGGCAACCTGAATGTTTCAATCGCAACAGTGCTATTGACTATTCAGTGTTATTGTCAGGGTACTTATCAAGGTAATAATGAAGGTACTTGATGATAAATCAGTATGTGGCAACCTGAATGTTTCTACCATAACAGTACTATTGATATTCAGTGTTATTGTCAAGGTACTTATCAAGGTAATAATGAAGGTACTTGATAATAAATTAGTATGTAGCAACCTGAATGTTCCTACCATAACAGTACTATTGACTACTCAGTGTTATTGTCAGGGTACTTATCAAGGTAATAATGAAGGTACTTGATAATAAATTAGTATGTGGCAACCTGAATGTTTCAACCACAACAGTACTATTGACATTTAGTGTTGTTATCAAGGTACTTATCAAGGTAATAATGAAGGTACTTGATAATAAATGAGAATGTGGCAACCTGAATGTTTCTACCACAACAGTACTATTGACATTCAGTGTTGTTATCAAGGTACTTATCAAGGTAATAATGAAGGTACTTGATAATAAATTAGTATGTGGCAACCTGAATGTTTTAACCATAACACTACTATTGACTATTAAACTCCATCATCAAGGTACTTACTATCCACTAAAAATTAACAAAATATTCATACTTCAGGTACTACAACCTCTCAGCCACCTTGCCAGCAGCAGGATCAGCAGCAGCAGGACGTCGAAGGCACTCCATCGGCACGTTCCTCGGAAAAGATCGTAGTACAACCAAAGACAATGCTAGAAGGCAACCTCAAAGTTCAACAGCTCTGGTAGAACCCGACACGATGGCACCACCTATACCAGTAGATGTGGTGGATGGTGTCCACGTGGAAAACAGAGCTGCACGATCCTACAGTAGGACCAGGCGTAGACGTCATCGTAGTTCCTCCAGCATGGGTGAGTAATATGTAATATGTCGATTGATATACTTTATTAGGAAGCAGTGAGTTCTGGGAAGTTTGGAGATTGTGAGATTAATTGGATACTTAGATGGTCACATATGTGGATATTTAAATTGTTAGATATGTAGGTGACTAGGTATGTAGGGATATGGAGGTGACTAGGTTTATAGGGATATGTAGGTGACTAGGTCTGTAGGGATATGGAGGTGAATAGGTCTGTAGGGATACGTTAGGTGACTAGGTTTATTGGGATACATAGATGACTAGGTCTATGGGGATATAGAGGTGAGTAGGTCTGTAGGGATATGTAGGTGACTAGGTCTGTAGGGATACATAGGTGACTAGGACTATAGGGATACATAGATGACTAGGTCTATAGGGATATAGAGGTGACTAGGTCTTTAGGGATATGTAGGTGACTAGGTCTGTAGGGATACGTAGATGACTAGGTCTATAGAGATACGTAGACCTCTAGGTCTATAGAAATACATAGGTGACTAGGTCTATAGAAATACCTAGGTTCTTAGGTCTATAGGTACTCTGTATCTCAAGACGTCTACATTGCAATATCTGGAGATTCTGACATCTTAAGATTGCAGTACCCCAGATCCAGATATCCAGAGATTTTGATGTACTCAGGTTCCAGTATCCACAGATAACACCTGGATATTTCTTGATACCTAGTTGCTCAGATACCTGCATATCCCTATATTCCTCCATACCTACATCATAGATGGATCTACATTCATAGATCCATAAATCTCCTACGTCACCATATTCCTACGTCACCAAATGCCTAGATCGTCACATACCTAATATCTTATAATGCCACATCCACATATTCCTACTTAACGGCAAAAAAATCTAAACTTGAAGTAAAACTAACATTCCTCAAAAATATTTATTGCATTCATATAAATTATACAATGTAAGTTGACTCGAAATAAAACCCCTTCAAATGTCGACGATCAATAAAAAGATAATTTACTACGAGTTATTTCCTAGAGCGCTTACTATTCCGATTAAAGCAAAACCGACGGTCGCATCGATGAGTAGTAAACGAGACTTAATTGGCCGATTAAGAGAGCTTAGAATCGGCCAGACGGCAATGGATTGAGTAGCCAGAATGGAAGACTGAATGTCGCCTTTGATTCTCACGAGACGAGTCGCATTCGATCCAATATTCGTCGAATTTATGCCCATTCTTTCCTCCTTGTCGATCAATCGGTGCCGATTATACGAACTGGCCACTCGGGGCTGGTCGCGTTCCCACGGGCCAGATTTCGCTTTGCACGCCCGCATGCCCGCTCCTCGGATCACGTACAAAAGCCTCGTTACGAATTCGAACTGGCACTCGATTTCGATCGTACACGATATTCGCCACGCGGCTTCTTCGATGACTGTTCAATCGATTCCCGTAATCGCGTTTTCAATTCAACGTCTTACTGGTACGCTTCGGACCAAAGTCAAACTTTGAAACCTTGATTTGGATCTTCGATTCGCAATAGCGAGGCGTGAAAGGGTTAATTGGTTCTTGAAACTTAATTTAGATACTGATGTATTTAAATTGATTTGTGCACTGTTTGGAAGGTTGATTTGGGCATATCTTGTGAGACATGTTGGTACTCTGCACTCGTATAACATGCACTCATGTGACATATGAGAATTTCACTGAGACATGTGACAAGTGAGAGCACCTCACGCGTTGTGTTTGCTGTGTATTGTATTCCTTACGCGTTGTATTCTCTGCGTAGTGAATTCTCCACGCGTTGTATTCTCTATGCGTTGAATTCTCTACGCGTTGTATTCTCTGCATAGTGAATTCTTCACACGTTGAATTCTCCATGTGATGAATTCCTCACGCGTTGTATTCTCTACGCGTTGAATTCCTCACGCGTTGTATTTTCTACGCGTTCAATTCCTCACGCCTTGAATTCCTCACGCGTGGTATTCCTCACGCGTTGAATTCCTCACGCGTTGTATTCCTCACGCGTTGAATTTCTCACGCGTGGTATTCCTCGCGCGTTGAATTCTTCACGCGTTGAGTTCCTCACGCGTTGAATTTCTCACGCGTTGAATTCCTCACGCGTGGTATTCCTCACGCGTGGTATTCCTCACGCGTTGTATTCTCTACGCGTTGTATTCCTCACGCGTGGTATTCCTCGCGCGTTGAATTCCTCACGCGTTGAATTCCTCGCGCGTTGAATTCTCTACGCGTTGAATTCCTCGCGCGTTGTATTCCTCACGCGTTGAATTCCTCGCGCGATGAATTCTCTACGCGTACAATTCCTCACGCGTTGTATTCTCTACGCGTTGTATTCCTCACGCGTTGTATTCCTCACGCGTTGTATTCGCTATCTATTGAATTCCCCACGCCTTGTATTCGTCACCCTTAATATTTCCTATATCTTATATATTCCACCCGTCGTATTCCTCACACAAAATATTCCCAACCCGCAATATCCACCATACATCCTCTCCTCCACAACTAATACTCCCGTTATATCGCCACATGTATCTTAACTCTTCTTAATATCAAAGATTAACTAAACCCACATTACACCGTAAAACGTAATGTTCGTGCAAACTGGAAGAAATTAAAATGGAAGTAAATGACGATTAAAAGTACACGGTTTTAATTAACGGAACGATTTCAGGAACATTGTTTCGCGTCTTCCGAAAGATCGTAAAAGATAATCAACAAACTGAACGAGCTTACCACTATGTTTAATTGGACCGTCTGCAACAGTCCTGTTTATACGTGAAGGAAATGAAACAGCGAAGTTAAATGAGCAATCTGTTTATCAAGAAGATCAACGTTACCATTTAAGATCGTTTAAATGTACATGGCTTTAAAACTCTGTAAACCGTCTATAATATTTAAAGAAGCTCTCTTATTTTAAGATATAATTAGTCTTGTACAAAGATTCATCGCGCTGATTCTCAGCGTTCATTCCTTTTAATGTGGATCCATATGTACTAATGATTTTATATATGAATATTAGTGAGTAATGTGCGTGGCAGGGAGGGCATTGCTACGGGTTTATGAAATGGAACTGTTACTTAGAAAATACTGCTTCCTATTTAATATGTATTAATAAGGATTCTTTTCGCTGTCTTTTAATTGCTACTCATGTTATTTTTTAAGTTGATCTTTATTTATTAGTAGTACATTGATACCATAATCTTTGTTTTATAAATACACATGTTCGTATGTACATAATACTTCATACAATTAGAAGCTACAAGACCGATCGTCTGACCGTTCCACAAGTTATTGTACATTATACAATTTGTTTAAGTGATTCCTCTGATATCTGTATTGACCTCCACCGAGATAAAGAATTAATGTTAGATTAATTCTCTACGGGATAAATTTTCCACGCGTTGTATTCTTTGCGCAGTGAATTCTCCACGCATTGAATTCTCTATGCGCTGAATTCCTCGAGCGTTGTATTCTCTATGCGTTGAATTCCTCACGCGTTGTATTCTCTATGCGTTGAATTCCTTACGCGTTGTATTCTCTACGCGTTGGATTCGAATTCACCATGCGTCAAATTCACCACGTGTTTTATTGGTCATGCGTTGAATTTACCACGCGTTGTATTCGTCACGCGTTGAATTCCTCACGCGTTGTATTCCTCACGCGTTGAATTCGTCACGCGTTGAATTCCTCACGCGTTGTATTCTCTATGCATTGAATTCCTTACGCGTTGTCCTCACGCGTTGAATTCCTCACGCGTTGAATTCCTCACGCGTTGAATTCCTCACGCGTTGAATTCCTCACGCGTTGAATTCCTCACGCGTTGAATTCCTCACGCGTTGAATTCCTCACGCGTTGAATTCCTCACGCGTTGAATTCCTCACGCGTTGAATTCCTCACGCGTTGAATTCCTCACGCGTTGAGGTCCTCACGCGTTGTATTCTTCACGCGTTGAATTCTCTACGCGTTGAATTCGTCACGCGTTGAATTCTCTACGCGTTGAATTCCTCATGCGTTGAATTCTCTACGCATTGATTTCTCTGTGCGTTGAATTCCTCACGCGTTGAATTCTCTACGCGTTGAATTCCTCACGCGTTGAGGTCCTCACGCGTTGTATTCTCTATGCGTTGAATTCTCTACGCTTTGAATTCCTCACGCGTTGAATTCTCTACACGTTGAATTCCTCACGCGTTGAGTTCGTCACGCGTTGTATTCTCTATGCGTTAAATTCCTCACGCGTTATATTCCTCACACGTTGTATTCTCTACGCGTAAATTAATAAAGAACTAAAAATCAGTCTCCACTAATTTATGTTTTGTTTATTTATTTATTCTTTGACATTATTTTTCATCTCTACTACCCCTTATACGCCAGTAACTTTAGTATTAAAATTTGGAATTCTAACCACATCAGTCACTCAAGTCTTCTCCAATTCGAAGTTCCCTTCACACATTCAAATAATATTCACTCGTTCGAAATTCCACACCTAAACATCCCTCAATAACGAATTCAAAAAGCAGAAAAGATAAGAAAGATACGAGAAACATCGCTCGCGAAATGCGATTCTCACGAGGTGTGGTTTCCATTCGAAATTTCAATTAGGAATCGCGGTCCTAAAGGATATCCGGTGATCTTTGATCGGCTCGCAGATAATCTTCGTCTCCGCAGGGACGTGTGTAGGGAGCCCAGGATGTCCCCGGAAGCTCCCGACTTTTAGTATTCCTCGAACGACCGTCGGTTTTCCGACCTATACCCGATCGAACCACCCGAAACACAGAGGGAGACAGATCGTAAAATTTACGGCCATACGTGACCCGTCGATCGCGCCCACTGAAACACATTAATTCCACGTGATCCAACTGTCGGCTTGTGTCGTTCACGTGTCTCACGTGTCCCTTTATCGTTGCTTAATTAGCTGACTTCCGGAGACCTCGAAACACGGATCTGGACGAGACAGCTCACAAATAGACACATGTCACTTCTGTCATTTTATCTTTCTCTTCTTTATTAAA